CTTATCATCATCAACCAAGACAAATAAGTTTTATATGTATATTAATAATTTTCTTTAGTACAGAAATGAATTAAATTTAGTCACAGAAAAATATTAGTAAAAGGTTTAGAGTTCATCTGAAGTAAATTTACTGATATATTAACTGAATTGTAAATTTGATCATAATTTTTCTTTCTTGCAGATCTCTACAATAATAATTGCATTCCTTTTCATCTGATTTAATTACTATAATTATTCAAATTAAACATTTATTTTATGAAGTATTAAAATTATTGATTGTAAATCATTTCTATATTTGTAGTGTTTTCTTTTTCATCTAATTTTATTTCATTTTGAAATTTATTATTAAAAAGCAAACATAAATTAATCATTGTTTAGTACTTCATTACTTTTTAATTTCTGATATGTTAATTTATTACTGTTGTCATTCAAAAAGAGTTGATAAATTTCAAATAATTTAAATTTCAAGCTGTTAACTAGCTTTCTGAATGGATTTCCATTGAGTTATTTCATATATTAATGGAATGGAACATAACATGAAAATACACTAATCTACATTATGTGGAAACTAAAAAATTTGAATTATAAATGAGTGTCAAAATTATCTCAGAAAATAAATATATGATTTATGAAGTTAATTAATTTTCAGAAAAGCATTTAATTATAAACAACCTTGTCATGTGGCAAAAACTTACAAGATTCTGCAAGATATATCTCCAGTGAAATCATTATGATAGTGTGAAAATTCTTTACAGAGAATATTTTTGAAAATACAGTAGTCTCTCGAAAACTCGGCACTTGATAACCCGGCAGTCCAGATAACTTGGCCACACCCCGGCAGGGCAAAAAAATCCTTAGTTAATTAATTTTCATTATAGACAGCTTTATGCCTCATAAAATATTTTTCTGAGGTCTGTCTTATCAGGTAAATTACTTTACACAGTGTATTCATTAATTTTCATTTTCATGTAGTAAAGACTCTATGCCTTCATAAAGGATGTACTTTTCCTTTGTTTAAGGGTATTTGGGCAGTTTATTCTCTGTTGTATTCTCATGTAAATAATACATACAAGTACAGTACAGTATTTTCTGAGGAAACACTCATACTTATTTTTTTAACCCCATTCCCGATAACCCGGCATTTTCACAAACTTGGCCACCCTTCGGTCCACATTAGGCCGAGTTTTTGAAACTCTACTGTATAAATGAAGTTACAAAAATAGTTTATAGATTTATTTCCACAGAAATTATTATTAAAATTTCTTTCAGAATTTTTACACAATTTATATGCATGATTTCTATTATACTTCTACAGCAAAACTATTAGCATGTTTTGAAAGTTAATAATTGTGTAAGTGATCATAAAGCAGAGAGTTGTCAATACATTAGAAAAAATTAATTGCATAGATTACCATTGAGTGAAAAAATACATTTGCTAGAATTATTGAAGAAGTTTTGTTTTTTTTAAATATTTGTAATGTAAATTTGAAACTTTTTCAAAATTTCCTTATTACACTACAGCTTGACACAAATTATAAATAATTCTACATTAAATTGATCATATCTAATGTAATATTTTATTTTGCTACTTTATTTCTCTCTCTCAGATTTAAATCAAGAAATTTTTTATGATTCTTGTAAGAATTGTTATGTAATGGTAATTATCTCCTTGTTTATGAAACTTAACTTAAAACAACTATTGACTGTTGTAGAATATTGATAAATATTGTTGAATTGAAATATGACTGTTGTTGGAGTGAAACATTCATATTACTAAGAATTGAAATGAGGAAATCAAGAGAATCAATATTTGGCATTAATGGAAGATGAAATGAAAATTTATACAGTGGATGATGATTTTTTTGAGGAAGAGTAAGAGGAAGTTAATAAGTTAGCAAGTATAATAGAATCTTCTGCAATGCATGGATCTTTCATTGATCACAATTTGCTAATTCTAGATATGCATATAAGTCAAAAAGACTCCTTTTTAACATGTTCCAATATAGTGGTGAAATGCTTACATTAGGACTTTTGTATGTCCATGTGTATGCACAAAAGGGAACTGAACATTTTTGTTTATGGTTACTGTAAGCTACAGTAAAAAACTATGCGGTTTCTCTGGAATCTATAAACCACATCCCTTACTGTATATTCAGCGAAAAATTCTTCTGAACTACTACTTGATTCCAAGAATTTATAAAATTTATTTTAAACAAAATTAATATTTGATTCACTTATATGGAGTATGCTATCAGATTGGCTTGACCAAGCTTGTTACATAATTTTCCAGCCATTCAAAGTAAATGCTTTTCAATGATTATATACTCTTGAAATTACTTTCTACTGTTTCTAGTCCATTCATTTCATCATCATCATTCTACTTTAGCAACATCTTTCATCATTTGCTTATACATAAACATTAATATGAATGAAAAATTAGCAATTCATGCCAGTTTTGCAAAATATCTTTATTTTGCACAAGTCATTTGTAGTTAATGTTTTATGTTAAATTTTCTGTAATTGCAGAATTCCTTCAATATACTTAAATATCTATTATTGTAGTGAAAGAATCTCAATCATAATACTTGGTTTGCTATCCAGCAACGAGTTACTTATCTTTCCCCGCAATATTTAAAACTGCGTGTTATCTGTTATGATAGTCTATTTAAAAAATTTTATATTTTTAATTGTTATAAAATGGTAAAAAGCTTAATTTTGAGGGTAGGGACGAGTTTTATTAAAGAAAACATTGTAAATGCTAATAACGAGTAAAATCGTCATTAATTTCGACCCTACTAGAGATATGACAAACGACTCCCCCTTTATCCTTCACCCCGTCGACTTTTAACTTCAGAATTTAATAGCATTAATCCCTCTAATAAACAAACTTCCCTGCAAAATTTCAAAAAAATTTTCGACAAAAAACACAGGAGTTAAGCTTTAAAGAGGGTGAACAGAAAAGAAAACACCCGAATTTTTTTTTGGCATTTCACGACGTTTCAAAGTCTCCTGAGTCCAAATATGTAAAAATCTGGGCGGTCATTTTTTGATCGATTGCCATACTTTTCCTCTTTTATTACTTAATAATTTATTTTCTGCACTTCTAAATCGTACCAATAATTTAAAACTTGGAAATATATTGATAAATTAATGACATAAATAATAATTGAATCTGAAGACTGGAAAGACTGATCAGAATTACAATTTGATAAAAGATAATTAGTGGCCATTATTATTATTATTATTATTATTATTATTAAAAACAGTTTTCTAATTAAAGCTAATATTTTCGACAATAAATTAACTTCTTTAGACTCATTAAAAGATGCTTACGCGATTAGATATTAAATTATTTTTTAACGATAACTTGCAATTAAACAGAATTAATATAATTTTCTTTTGATTATTTCCATTATTTTCTCAATTGTAGAAAGGATAATTACAGAGTAGAATGTATTTTTTATTGATATTTGCTGCTCATTGACTTTTCTTTTCACGAATTTCCATTAGTTTGGTTTTTTTTTTTTTTTGATTGACTTCAATATTATTTAAGCTTTCATTTTCATTATTATTGAAGCGGAATAAAGCCCATTTCTTAGTTTAGATACTGTCTTTTAATTTGGAAAATGCAAATTTCTGCAAAATGTATAAGTTAGTTAGCCTTAAGTAGCTTAAAGATGGATTTTCTATTTGCCTGTGAGAAAATTAATTTAAAAGTTTAATGTGACAGTCGATTTTAAAATTCAGACTCTTTATGTATAATAAAAATGCCAAGAATTGTTTACTACAACTTTAAAAAATTAATAAATATATTAAAATAATAAAATTGAAGACGAAATTAATAATAAATGGATCTAAATACTTAAGAGAATTTCATTTTTAAAATTTATAAAAACTAATAAATGTGAGAGATTAAAGTTTGAATTTAATATTTAAAAAAGAGCATTTGTTCGAATAATATATGCTTACAACTTAAAAATTTAATGGCAAGTTGCATGGAGATTTGAAATGTAATACTTTTTAATCTTTAATTTGATATAAAAAGAAGAGATCAGAAAATGTTATAAAAGACAAAGAAAAAAAACCAAATCATATCAGATTCATTTTCGTTTTATGGAGTTTGAAAGGCCAAATAAACCAAATGGAATTTTCGTCTTGCAGGAAAATAATAGAACTTTCCTACCAAGAAGAGGAGGATGCACAGATCCTATCGGAACAAATGATGTTTACGACCAACGCCGGTATCAAACACTGACAATAATCACTATTGATTAGATCAAAGCATCGACACAATCAGTCCGACTGACTATTTGCTTTATATGTTCTTCAAGAGTTTGATAAGATGATAAGATTCGCTTGGAAAAAAGAAAAGGAGACAAAAACAAACACCAAATTTAATTTCAAAATACCTATTCAAAAGTCAAAAACACTGTTCTGTATCGGCTGTTTTCAACTCTTCTAGAGTTTTTTTTTCCTTGTATTAAATTTTTTAATTCGCTTCTTTTATGGATTAAAACTAATTTCATTTTATAATTTCAAATTTCGCGTATTTTATTTGAACGAGACAAAGATATCGAAGCGAGTTTAAATTGATTTTATTTACAGAAATAAAGGGCTTATTTTGGCATCCGGACTAAAAGTCGACGAAGACGGTAACACAAACTGGAGGTTAAAGTATCGCGTTAATCACCAAACACGTAATTTAGACTATATAATCATTTATCTTCCGAAACAGATTAACATTTCACAAATTGCATTACTTAAATTTTATTTCGCTTTCTAACAAATTACATTTACATTCGACTTTCGGTCGCGAGTTCTTGTGCACAAAAATGTAAAATTTAACTTATTTAAATTAAAGTTTTTAATTTTTTTTTTTAAATTAAATTTAAATTGTATAAAACTAATTATAAATTTTATGCATGTTAGTTGTAGTTTTCGTTAAGAAACGAATGGTTTAGTACATGAGGGAATTTCTTTTTTTTTATTCTTTATTGTAGATCTTCCAACGGAATCATGACATTCTGGAAGGCAGAAACCCGAGTCCGTCCACTGCTGCATTTTAGTCGTTTGGCCATAACCGAAAGTCTTCAGTCACGCGACCTCGATAAGCTTTATCTTCCCAAAAGTTTGAAAAATTACATTCTGTACGAGTAGAGAGACCAATCGTAATCTCAAGCGAAGACCCATCTTTTTTTCTTTTTTTACCAAAGCCGCAAAAATCCAACTTTTCAGATCGGATTTGGATCAGTTTCCGTATTCGCGGAACCATTTAACCATTCGTTTACCGGACTTTTCAAATATTTATGAAGCTAGACGAAACTGTCGAGGACGGGTTTAGTGCGGGCAGCTCTTTCCCAGAACCACAAAACCATTGTCGATGATGAGACACGAGAATTTTACCATTCCAATTAATCAATTCGCTTAACGACTCATCGTGTATTGAATATTACATCTTGTATTTTTGTGGAAAAGAAAGTGTGTTTTTTTTAGAAGAATTTCACTATTTTATAAGTGGATGAATGCAGGAAATTTTACCTACTGATAACGCCAAAGAATCTCATCCGGTATAATCCATATTTTCCATTGTTCTTATTGATTATCATGTAAAGAATTTTTATGAAATAAAAATATATAAAAAAAAGTTATTATTGTATTGTAGATATCTTCTATAATATATAGGCTATATATAGATAAATTCACGATTGTAATTAGTTTTAAAGTTTTTACAGTGGATTTTTGAAGGTTAAAATATAAAGGCTGCTGTTTTATCCTCACATTTTCTTCTATAATTCTCCGATATGATGAATTTGTTGGAAAATTTTACTTATCTTTAATCTTAGATAAGTGAAATTTCTTACGATTTTATCGGATAACTGTGGAATCCCAGTTTTCGAGGTTAAAGCAGAAACCTCTCAAGATTATAAAATGTCTAAAGAAAACTCGATTGATGGTTACAAAGTGCAAAATCGTAAAATATCGTACTTTGTGTATAACAACATTAATAAAAGGATGGATTGTATGGCTTCTTTACGCCTTAATAAATAAAAGTTTTTATTTTCTACAATACAGAACTTTTTAACGATATTTTCTTAGAATATAAACAAGTTCGTTCTAAATTTTTAGGAGAGAAAAAGTTAAAACAAAAGGAAGAAAAAAAACATTAACATTGTTCTATTTATTCTACAAAATCTCTCTTGCTTCTTGTGCCAAGTCTATTACAAAAATTGTAAATTTAATTTTACGATACTTTCAGAACGGGGTATGTCTTATATTTTTGTTTATCGGCGATTCTCTCCCCAAAAATAATTTAGAACAGAAGGGATTATTACAATAGGATTGACCTGGAATGAAAGGTCAGAAGAATTATTGCTAATTAACTCACTCGGTTAGATATATATATATATATATATATACATTTTTTATCCCGAAGTTAACTGCTTTATAACCGGAATTTTGCATTTGCATGAAGGTTAATTGCCAGTTATTTTGTATTTGGACAGCCAATTGTCGTCAGAACGTTTTCAAATATAAAATTAACGCATTTAATTAGTTTGTTTAAAAGTTTTCTCCTTTCTGTTGAAGCTGGTCTATCGATTGAAAAATAGAATTAACTTGTAAAATGTTACTACCATATTGAATTTAGAAGAAGAATAAAGACAACGGATGGAAATCGCTGCGAATTTAGATATTTATTTCTTAAACGAATTCTTTAAAATGTACGAGAAAATCGAATTTATTCGATAAATTTTTGATAAATTATTTTATACAGATAAGGGAGATTTTAATGAAAATCGTAAAATCTTCCTTTCAGTTTTAATAATTAAACGAGGTAAAGCGTACATTTTTATTAATTTATTTAAAAAAAAAAAAATATGCTTTTAAATTCTGTTTTTCTACTTAAAGTACGCAAGATTATTTATCAAAGATGATACTCTACTTGAAAAAAAAAATTAATTAATAATTCTCTAGTGTATTTTTTTTTTCCTTCCTCTTTTGTTTACTTTCTCGTAATTACAATTTTAAAATTTCGAATAAACAACTTTAAAATATTCGTATCTTTTACAGTAGAAAATGAAAAAAATTTTTATTAGGAAAAGGTATATAATGTTAATCATTTCCGCCAAGTAATATAATTTCTGATCCGGATACAACTTTCGGTTTATCTACATTAATTAAATATAGTAAAATAGGATGAAAACTAATCCATTTGTTTCTGGTTTCAGGAAGTTTCATCATTTTTGTAATCGATACTTCATAAACGACATTTGTTACCACGTTTCGCCTTACCGCTAGAATTATTTTTGCCAAAAGAATTCTAGAATTACCAACAATTTTATACGAAAAATAATCGAATGAGTGAGTAAACTTACGTTATATTCGTTCTCTATTTAATTTTAATTTTATTAAACGTTGACCAATGATATTTCGCTGATTATATTTGTTTTATTAAAATTAACCAAAAAAAGACACCGCGGCTGTTGGATCTAAAAAAAGAATGAAAGAAGCGCTAAAGGACTCATCTTGCAACGGATCAAAAATAAATTACCCAACATTAAACTTTGAAACTTTTTAATGATTTTACGTATTTTATGTTAATTCTATCTAGAATTAATTAATTTTCCGGAAAATTTTCAGGCGAGGTCGGATTCTTTCATGAAATTCTAGAACCGTATAAATGAATCTAGAATCAATACTTTCGATCAGATTAGAATATTCGCGTATAAAAATACTTCTTCGTCTTCATTTATAAGCCTTTTATCCTTAATTAAAATATTAAATTAGTAAGAAATATGTCGTTTTTTTTATTATTCATTCGCGAAGGAATCCGATTACGAAAATCTCGCAAACAAGTTTCTTTTTTTCCTAAGAAAAATGTTACTCGGATCAAAAATTTTAATCGTTTTGTTAATTAATTTACAAGAGAAATGTCTTCTCGATAATAAAAAGAATATTTTACTCTAGAAAATTATTTAAAAAATTACTTTATAAATCTAGTATCAAACGATTTATTACTAGGAAAAAAAAAAAGTAAGGAAGAAAATTAGTTAAAGGTCAACATTATCAAATTAATCGAGGAAAAGGAAATTGTGATAATTTATTTAAAGCATTTTAAACGATTTTAATTAAAGAATTTAATTTTTCCCTCCCCCAAAAAAAAGAAATCCATTCATATTAATATAATGGATATCCTAATCAAGGAACGAAGCTTGATTTTTCATTTTAATTACGAAAGGTCAATTATCCAGACGTGGATTTTAAGAGGGGGAAGGGGGAAAAAAGAAGTAAATTCGCTATCCATAAACTTCAACTGATTTTTAATAACTTAAAACTATCTCCTTGAAAATATCTGACGTAAATGAGAAGAGAAAAATAAGAATTGTTTATCACGTGTCACATTCGATGCCAGATCGATAGACGAATTTAAAATTTATCCTTGAACATAATTAAATATTAAAGAAACAAATCGATATATATATTTTTTCCTTTTTTTAAGGGAATAATTTCGAGTTTTTATTATTAATTTAATTTATTTAAAAAAAAAAAAATATGCTTTTAAATTCTGTTTTTCTACTTAAAGTACGCAAGATTATTTATCAAAGATGATACTCTACTTGAAAAAAAAATTTAATTAATAATTCTCTAGTGTATTATTTTTTTTCTTCCTCTTTTGTTTACTTTCTCGTAATTACAATTTTAAAATTTCGAATAAACAATTTTAAAATATTCGTATCTTTTACAGTAGAAAATGAAAAAAATTTTTATTAGGAAAAGGTATATAATGTTAATCATTTCCGCCAAGTAATATAATTTCTGATCCGGATACAACTTTCGGTTTATCTACATTAATTAAATATAGTAAAATAGGATGAAAACTAATCCATTTGTTTCTGGTTTCAGGAAGTTTCATCATTTTTGTAATCGATACTTCATAAACGACATTTGTTACCACGTTTCGCCTTACCGCTAGAATTATTTTTGCCAAAAGAATTCTAGAATTACCAACAATTTTATACGAAAAATAATCGAATGAGTGAGTAAACTTACGTTATATTCGTTCTCTATTTAATTTTAATTTTATTAAACGTTGACCAATGATATTTCGCGGATTATATTTGTTTTATTAAAATTAACCAAAAAAAGACACCGCGGCTGTTGGATCTAAAAAAAGAATGGAAGAAGCGCTAAAGGACTCATCTTGCAACGGATCAAAAATAAATTACCCAACATTAAACTTTGAAACTTTTTAATGATTTTACGTATTTTATGTTAATTCTATCTAGAATTAATTAATTTTCTAAAAAAAAGAAGTAAGAGGTGTTTGTATATATATATATATATATAGGCCTACATATACTTTTTGTACCTTATTTTNAAAATTAACCAAAAAAAGACACCGCGGCTGTTGGATCTAAAAAAAGAATGAAAGAAGCGCTAAAGGACTCATCTTGCAACGGATCAAAAATAAATTACCCAACATTAAACTTTGAAACTTTTTAATGATTTTACGTATTTTATGTTAATTCTATCTAGAATTAATTAATTTTCCGGAAAATTTTCAGGCGAGGCCGGATTCTTTCATGAAATTCTAGAGCCGTATAAATGAATCTAGAATCAATACTTTCGATCAGATTAGAATATTCGCGTATAAAAATACTTCTTCGTCTTCATTTATAAGCCTTTTATCCTTAATTAAAATATTAAATTAGTAAGAAATATGTCGTTTTTTTTATTATTCATTCGCGAAGGAATCCGATTACGAAAATCTCGCAAACAAGTTTCTTTTTTTCCTAAGAAAAATGTTACTCGGATCAAAAATTTTAATCGTTTTGTTAATTAATTTACAAGAGAAATGTCTTCTCGATAATAAAAAGAATATTTTACTCTAGAAAATTATTTAAAAAATTACTTTATAAATCTAGTATCAAACGATTTATTACTAGGAAAAAAAAAAAGTAAGGAAGAAAATTAGTTAAAGGTCAACATTATCAAATTAATCGAGGAAAAGGAAATTGTGATAATTTATTTAAAGCATTTTAAACGATTTTAATTAAAGAATTTAATTTTTCCCTCCCCCAAAAAAAAGAAATCCATTCATATTAATATAATGGATATCCTAATCAAGGAACGAAGCTTGATTTTTCATTTTAATTACGAAAGGTCAATTATCCAGACGTGGATTTTAAGAGGGGGAAGGGGGAAAAAAGAAGCAAATTCGCTATCCATAAACTCCAACTGATTTTTAATAACTTAAAACTATCTCCTTGAAAATATCTGACGTAAATGAGAAGAGAAAAATAAGAATTGTTTATCACGTGTCACATTCGATGCCAGATCGATAGACGAATTTAAAATTTATCCTTGAACATAATTAAATATTAAAGAAACAAATCGATATATATATTTTTTCCTTTTTTTAAGGGAATAATTTCGAGTTTTTATTATTAATTTAATTTATTTAAAAAATTTTTATACATATTCAAATCGTGATGCTGTAAACTTAGATTTTATTCTGGAGTTTTTAGAAATAACAATATTGCTCGCTACATTGTTTTTTTTTTTTCTTTCTTTCTTTAAAATTCGATAAAAATATACTTTTCTTTAAAAGAAATCACTTGTAGGAAGAAAACGAGATAAGCAATTGCGCTTCGCTTGTTTGTTAGAGAACTTTAGAGCTACAGAATATCTGTTTTTATTTACTTTTNTTTATAGATTTATTTCCACAGAAATTATTATTAAAATTTCTTTCAGAATTTTTACACAATTTATATGCATGATTTCTATTATACTTCTACAGCAAAACTATTAGCATGTTTTGAAAGTTAATAATTGTGTAAGTGATCATAAAGCAGAGAGTTGTCAATACATTAGAAAAAATTAATTGCATAGATTACCATTGAGTGAAAAAATACATTTGCTAGAATTATTGAAGAAGTTTTGTTTTTTTTAAATATTTGTAATGTAAATTTGAAACTTTTTCAAAATTTCCTTATTACACTACAGCTTGACACAAATTATAAATAATTCTACATTAAATTGATCATATCTAATGTAATATTTTATTTTGCTACTTTATTTCTCTCTCTCAGATTTAAATCAAGAAATTTTTTATGATTCTTGTAAGAATTGTTATGTAATGGTAATTATCTCCTTGTTTATGAAACTTAACTTAAAACAACTATTGACTGTTGTAGAATATTGATAAATATTGTTGAATTGAAATATGACTGTTGTTGGAGTGAAACATTCATATTACTAAGAATTGAAATGAGGAAATCAAGAGAATCAATATTTGGCATTAATGGAAGATGAAATGAAAATTTATACAGTGGATGATGATTTTTTTGAGGAAGAGTAAGAGGAAGTTAATAAGTTAGCAAGTATAATAGAATCTTCTGCAATGCATGGATCTTTCATTGATCACAATTTGCTAATTCTAGATATGCATATAAGTCAAAAAGACTCCTTTTTAACATGTTCCAATATAGTGGTGAAATGCTTACATTAGGACTTTTGTATGTCCATGTGTATGCACAAAAGGGAACTGAACATTTTTGTTTATGGTTACTGTAAGCTACAGTAAAAAACTATGCGGTTTCTCTGGAATCTATAAACCACATCCCTTACTGTATATTCAGCGAAAAATTCTTCTGAACTACTACTTGATTCCAAGAATTTATAAAATTTATTTTAAACAAAATTAATATTTGATTCACTTATATGGAGTATGCTATCAGATTGGCTTGACCAAGCTTGTTACATAATTTTCCAGCCATTCAAAGTAAATGCTTTTCAATGATTATATACTCTTGAAATTACTTTCTACTGTTTCTAGTCCATTCATTTCATCATCATCATTCTACTTTAGCAACATCTTTCATCATTTGCTTATACATAAACATTAATATGAATGAAAAATTAGCAATTCATGCCAGTTTTGCAAAATATCTTTATTTTGCACAAGTCATTTGTAGTTAATGTTTTATGTTAAATTTTCTGTAATTGCAGAATTCCTTCAATATACTTAAATATCTATTATTGTAGTGAAAGAATCTCAATCATAATACTTGGTTTGCTATCCAGCAACGAGTTACTTATCTTTCCCCGCAATATTTAAAACTGCGTGTTATCTGTTATGATAGTCTATTTAAAAAATTTTATATTTTTAATTAAATCATTTCTATATTTGTAGTGTTTTCTTTTTCATCTAATTTTATTTCATTTTGAAATTTATTATTAAAAAGCAAACATAAATTAATCATTGTTTAGTACTTCATTACTTTTTAATTTCTGATATGTTAATTTATTACTGTTGTCATTCTAGGATGTCAAATTCATGTTGGCTATAGATTGATTAT